AGCTTTCTTCCCAGACTTTCAGGGCTTGCTTAGATTGTCTCAGCTTCTTGGACCTTTGCCAGCATAGTTGACAACCAGCTATCTTATGCATGCAACTAAGATAGCATTTGTTGCTCTGATCAATTATCTCCTCATAGGAATTGATGGAAGCAATTGGAGTATATTGATTCCATTCTGTCTTCTAGCAGCAGTGGTTACCATTTACAAGATTACAGTGACACGAGACATGATTGGTTATTTATGGGATTCCTTACTGCTTGCTGAATAATTCTAAAGGTTATAGTCAACTTTTCTTTACTACTGATAGCATTTCTGGATTTTTTTTGGGGGGGGGGAGAGTGTAATATTTATACTAATCCACGTAACAATCATCTGAATAGGAGTACGCAATTCATCTGGATTACCTAAACAGTAGCTACTTTTAAGGGCTACAGTGTTGCTAAAATATGATCTAGACCAGACATGTCAAACTTGTGATGTCACGTGATGTCACACAACGTATTGGGATGGTTTTTCCATTGCCGGCAATGGGGTGGGCATGGCTTCTGGATGACGCATCTGGCCCACAGACTGGCAGTTTGACACCCCTGATCTAGACAGTTTGTTGCCACAACTAGAAACCAATCACATAGCCCATGTGAAACTATACTAGAACTTAAGAATTCAAGTTGACCCATTTTTTTTACTTACTTAGGTATTAATATACATATAATATCTAACCACTATGGCATTCTCTAAGTATATACTGTAAGAATGCCTGCAGGCTTGACACCAGATGATTCTTGGTGACTTCAGGACCACAGTGTAATTGACAGAAAGAGAGAAGTGGTTTGTCTCTAAGCTGGCAAAAAATATATATTCTGGCACAAATGCTATTGCATTTACCATTGAATTCTTTTTGGCTTCAATAACAAGGACAGCAAATGACCTTGTTCCTGACAAGATAAGGAAAGCAATCATGGTTTTTCCTGGATTAGTCTCCCTTTCTAAGGAGTATCACCTGCACAGGAAGAACAATCCAGAGTCATTCTCCCTTGTGTGACCTGGGGCTGGCCTGACCTGGGCATGTAGAGGTAAGTACTTTGAAAGTTGGGTTTAGCCATCTGTCAGGTTGACTAACTAATAATTTAAAGATACAGAAGCTACATATCCAGTCTAGTATTCAGCCCAAGCCAAAATAGCTATGTGGGATATTGCTCAGGGAAGGGATGTGTCTGCAACAGCCTAAAAGTCTGGGCATCATTATTATGGTCGGTCACTCAGTTATCTGGAGGTTTAGACTGGATTTGGCATTTTAGTCACCTATCAAATCCTTTCCTAGGACATGGGATAGGCAAATGTTGTTGTTTAATAGTATTAAATAATAATACTATTATTTAATAGTATTAAATAATAATACTATTATTTAATAGTATTAAATAATATTATAGTATTTAATAATACTATTGTCACAGGAGCTGAGCTGTTTCAATAAGCTGCCTTTTTCAACTGACTGGTGGGGATTTTGTCAATGCCAGTGGGGTTCAAGTGGTTGCCCCAGATATTTTGGGATTATACCCAAAGGCATCTATTATTATTGGTACTATCTTTGCTTTCATTTGCCACAGACATTTTATTTCTATTTGCAGGTCATTGTATTTTGCAATTTTTTTCCATTTCTTCTGCTGTTTCCAGGTACTGCCACTTCAGGTATTATTCAGACTTGTTTTTCTTATTAACAATTGTTAAATCTGTAGTGTTATGTGGCAGGTGCTTGTCTGTTTGAATTCCAATTTCCCAAAATACTTAACTTCTTCATTTTCTATTACTTTGTCTATTTTTTGGTTCCATCAGTTCTTGCGTGCAGGCAAATGGTATTTGTTGCAGATATTCCAATGCACCATTGTTGCTCATTTGTTATGCTGTTGTTTGTTATCAGTCTGTGCAATCTTGTTGCAGCAGCTAACCAGGTGGTCCACTGGTTCTTCAGCTTCTCTGCAGAGACAGCATTTTCTATCTGTTGGTATTTTCTCAATTCTGGCTTTATATGCATTTGTTCTTAAGGCTTAGTCTCATGCAGCCCTTCTGTTACTTTCTTTAACTTTCTGTTCTTAGCCTTTTCCAGGTATTTATTGTTATCTGCTTTGTCGGTATTTTTTTTAAAATGTACTGACCATGTAATATTTTGCCTTACCATGTCTCTTTTCAAGGCATTTCTTTCTTAGTAGTAATAGTGCTATACATTTATATTTACATTTAATCAGGAAAAATCAAAGGTGTAAGTACAGATTAGGTGAGACCTGGCTCCAAAACAGTAACTGTGAGAAGGACCTTGGAATCTACTGGATGATCGCTTGAATATGAGCCAGCAGTGTGCAACAGCAGCCAAAAAAGCTAATACATTCCTAGGTTATATAAACAGAGGCACAGAATCACGATCACGTGAAGTATTAGTACCGCTTTATAAAACCCTAGTAATACCACACCTGGAATACTGCAGCCAATTTTGGTCACCATGCTACAAAAAAGATGTTGAGAGTTTGGAAAAAATTCAGAAAAGAGCAATTAAGATGATCAAAGGCCTGGAGACTAAAACATATGAAGAACAGCTGCAGGACTTGGGTTTGGCTAGTCTAAAGAAAAGAAAAAAATAGGGGTGACATGATAGCAGTGTTCCAGTATTTGAGGGGCTGCCACAAAGAAAGGAGGGTGTCAAATTATTCTCCAAAGCACCAGAGGGCAGAACGAGAAACAATGGTTGGAAACTGATCAAAGAGAGAAGCAACCTGGAATGAAGGAGAAATTTCTTAACAGTAAGGACAATTAACCACTGGAACAGCTTGCCTTCGGAAATTGTGGGTGCTCCATCACTGGAGGTTTTTAAGAAGAGACTAGAGTACAGTCACTTCTCTGAAATGGTATAGGTTTGCCTGCTTGAGCAGGGAGGCTGGACTAGACCTTCAAGGTCCCTTCCAGCTCTATTCTATTCTATATTTTTATCTCTTCTTTAAAATGTATACCTCAAAATTGCAAACATATTGCATACTTCATACTCCTGCTTGATATTTTCCTCACAACAGTCCTGTGAGGTGGGTTGGACTGAGAGAGAGTGGTGTGCCTAGTCACCCAGTCATGGTTAACTTCATCACTGATAAAGCCTTCTAGGTCTAGTCCAGAGCAGAAATTAAGTGAGGACAGAAGGAAAAAATGTTGCTTTAAAACTGCATCTGCTAAAGAAGGTTTTAACCCCACAAAGCTGTGAGCTGGGGATGTGCTAAAGTCAGAACAATGAGGTCATGTCCTTTGAAAAGGTCTACTGGGACATGTTTGTGCTGCAGGTAGAAGGACATTAGTATGAGCAATTCAACTTGACAACTGCATTCATATGTAAATAAAATGCACAGATTCCACTTAGCAGCACCAAGAAACAGTAATATTCATAATCTTGATGATACCAACAACAATAATGTCCTCATGCAAATACCACGACTATGTTCTTCTGTTGCTGTATCAGATGCAAGGATTTAAATTTTAACATTTGTGTGGTGATGTCATTATGTAATTATCATCACTGCCCCTCACTGGGGTCCTTGCCCCCCCCTGCAGACACCCATTAAGAAATATTGGAAAATCTATTAATATGGGAACATAGTTATAGTTCTAAGGCAGGAATAAACTCAAAGGATCCACATTTTAAATGTGAAAAACAGCGTGGTAACTCTGGCCAGGGCAATTTATCCTATCACACAAGGAATGATAATAAACTGTTGTAATTACAAATAAAGCCACGTTTATCCGATATGGTACACCTAGATATAGAAGGGTCATAATGTGCCTGGGGGAGGGGAGGGGGGGAGAGAAAGCAACAGGAGATGGCCATCACGCCTTGCTGGCAATTTTTTCAGTGTCACTATGAAAGCCAGGAATGGTGAACCAACAGCTTTAGCCCTGCATGAGTACTTGGCAAGATTACTAACGTACCCTGCCGAAAAATTAAATATAGGTAATAATCTGAAACGGGGGGGACAGGGGGTGTACTACCGCGAGAGTTAACGTATGGCCACAACCGTGGATTAAAGCAAAGCAGCAAAGTGACACGTGGTACTTTCAAAAACTTTTGAGCAGGGATGGCGGGAGGGGAGGGGCTATGCTAGGAGTAGCGGTTTTTTGACAAAGCTACAGGGGGCTTCGTTTCAAAAATTTATTTTTATGGATTCACGGGAAATCGCCGAACGCCAAATACCGGAACGCCTAAGACCGGAACTGCTACTTCCTCGGATCAACTCTCTGACTCGCTTCTACTTTCATTAACAATTAGAAAGAAAGGAGGCGGAGTCGCACTTTCGTTTGTAGGGGTGAAACCTCAAAATATTTGCCCTAGAAGTTTATTACTCCAGCAAAAATAACTTGCTCCCTCTTCTTAAGTTAGTTCTGTTGCAAAATCACGAAGAGGGGGGGGGAGAGAAGAAGTCGAAGTAAGGGGTGGGGAGTATTTCTAATTTGTTTTCTCAATTTCTTTATCCTCCAACGCTGGTAAGCTGGAGGAGTGAAAAGGAAGCAGGCTGTTAAATAAAGGTATCTCAAGAGTTGAAATGTTATAAAACAGAGTGTGTTGACCAACTTTTCCATCTTCCGTTTTATTACATCAGCTGATGCATCGATTCTTTGCCATCTACATAATTTCCACCCGAGCTCTCTTAGCGGGGAAGAGTTTTAAGGACGAGGCTCCCCACTGCAGACACCACTTTTGAAGTCGCGGCAATATTCCTCTCCTTTCAATGAAGCTTCTTCCCTCCCTTCCCCTCCTTCCCAAGAATCCTTGGCTAAATCATTTGTAATTTTTTAAAAATCTCCCTCTTTCATCCTCTTCGCTTTAGCACGCCTCCCTGTTTATTTTCCAGCTTTGAGAGTGGTTGTCTTCCTGTTCCCCACCACCGCCACCCTTTTTAATATTTTGCACGGTGCCAAGCTTGGGAGTTTTCGCATATTCGCCTCCCCTTTTCTGCAGCCTCCCTCCCCAGCCCCATCAGAGGAAATATTACAATGTTGCAAGCTGACGTAAGGACATTACAAGGAAAGGGCTACATTTCGGAGTGTTTATGAAAAGCTTCGGTACTGTACTGTCACCAGGGGGCATGCAATAGAATGCATTTCGTTCAACATTTGGGATAATGATCATTTAGAAACCACTACGACCAAAACAAAAAGAAAAGCAAGAAAACGAAAAAAAGAGCGAGCGGGCGAGCTTCCAGTGAGCTTTGGAACCGGCGCCAGGCAGAGGAGCCATGCAGCCAAACTTTCGGGAACCCTTGGTTATTTTTTCTGACATTGCAGCTCGCCCTTGAGGATCGCTTACTGGATTCTCCGGATTTTGTTTTGCTTCTTTTTTTCCCCCTCCCTCCACCTCTCCCCGCCGTCTCCAGGCCCGGTTGATTCGCTTGCCCGTGGCGGCAAAGGAGGAGAGAATCGAGCGAGCTCCCCAACAGCGAGGAAGCCGCAGCAAAACGCCCTGCCTGCGTGCTTCTTTCCGCTGCCTGGCTGGCTGGCTGGCTGGGCTGGCTGACTCTCCCGCACGGCTCGCTTGCCTTGGGATCCAGTGTTGTTTTGAAGGGAGCTAACATGGCGACGGTGCCCGTCTATTGCATCTGTAGGCTGCCCTACGACGTAACCCGCTTCATGATCGAGTGCGACGCCTGCAAGGACTGGTTTCACGGCAGGTAACACAAAGCGATCGGGCCTTTCCTCGCCCCCCCTCCCCCCGCTCTAGGGCAGAGATCCCCTTCTTCTCGCTCGGGGCCTTTCGTCTCTTTGGCTCGCCCGGGCAGGAGCGGCGAGAGAGCGAGCGGGAGATCGAGCGACAGAGGAGAGATGGTGGGCTCCTGGCTGCCGCTTCTGCTCTGTGCAGTTTTCCAACAGGCCTTTTTGGAGAAGAGGAGGAGGAGGAGGAGCCACTCTCTCGTTTCCCTCTCTTGTATTTTTTTTTGTGTGCGTGTGTGGTTTTGTTTTTGTTTCGTAAATTGTCGAGCCCGGGCATACACAATGGACTCCCCCCCCCCTTCCCGGGGCTCTGGTGTCAAGGGGCTGCGGGTAGTGGTGGTGGTGAAGGAGAGAGCTATTGTCCTTTACTCGGGGAGGGACGGCGGGCGGGCGGGCGAACGGGCTGACTGACTCGCTTGTGCTATAAAGGGTGTTTCTCCCCCCCCCGCCTTTTTTTTTTTGGGAAATTATTATTTTATTAGCTCCTGGTTTCTGGCCGGCTGTCTCCCTCCCCCGATCGGGGTCTTATTGGGTGGATTCAATGGGGAGGGTTAAGGATTTAAGGTTAGTTGCTCCCCTCCCCTCACTTTCTCCAGAGAAGGCATGGAGAGAGCAGAACCGGGGGCGGGGAGAGGAGGAGGAGGGGGGGGGAGGTTGAGGAAAGCGGTTCCACAATGTCTGGCTAAGAGGGAAAAGCGAGCGAGCCAGTCCCGGGAAAGACCCCTACGGAGCAAGCGGGAACCGCAAGGACCGGGGCAGCGGAGGCGGCTCCCGGAGGGCCCGCGCTCCGGGCGGTCACTTGCTTCGCGCCTCCTGAGGGAAGGGGGCGACTGGGGGGGGGTATTTCCTCGCCTGCTGGGCGCCACGATTTGCCCGGGGAGCGCGCGGGCCCCAAATGGCAGCGTGGAGCGAGGAAGCGGATAGCCAGGGCTTCCCCGAGAGCCGCGGCCACACAGGGTATTCCTTGCAGCGCAGGCTGCTGAAGCCTGGCGCTGACGCCACTTCGCCAGGGCTAGACTCCGGTATGGAGCAAGCGAGTCCACTCCGTCAACAGGGGAACGAGAGTCCCCGGCCGCCAGACTCAGCCCGAAGGTGGGCGGAGAAGAGCACACAAGAAAGGCGAGACCCCTTTCTGGTCTTCCTGAGGTAGCGCTGTCTTGTGAAAGACAGCTCCCCCACCCCACGCCCGGTTGCCACGTCCGCCTCTGACACTTTCACGGTGCCCCCTTTTTTTGTTTCTTTTCACCAAATGAGATACAAGGGGTGGTGTGGCTTCTTGGAGCCAGTCCGGGAAACAGCTGGGGAGGTTAATTCCCTGACGCTCCCCGGTCAAAGCTTTGGCTGCCGTCTCCTGGGCGGCAGACTGCTTTTAATTCGCCTTGTCCACCGTCAGCAGTGGAATCTGAGACAATGTACGCCCAGGGGCTGGAAACTCCCTCGGCCACCCGCTTGTCTCCTTGGCTTTTGATCAGTATTTGATTTGTGCAGGAGGGGTCCCCGCCCCGCCGCCTTTGTCAGGCTTTCTTGGCGCTTTAATTATCACTTCACCTCGACCGTGTCTGCCTTGTTTGCAGGGACTCTCTGGATATGATCTGACTATCAACCTGATCTTTGTGCCTCGCGGTGGCGGGGTTGTGTTGCATGCGGAAGGCAGACGCGTCGCTCATTTAAAAAAAAAAAAAAAAATGGAGCTGCAGGAAGAAGGGGAAGGGACTTCAGCTGGATTTCCTACGAGTTCCGTCTTAGGTAGTTTGCACTATAGGTCTTGTGGAAACTAAGGCGCCTCTGATGGAAGCCGGTGACGCTGAAACGACTCGGATCTGTAGGTCCGGGCTGCCGAAATTGGTCGGCTCTCGCGGGCTTCTCTGTGATGCCAGTCTGCAGGAGTTTAAAGGACTTCGGCGTTTTGTTTTCAGTGTGTTTAGCCGCGCATGGACGACGGGGTGACTGTAATGAATAATCTTCCTATGATTCGCTGCTGAACTTCATTGCAACTTGGTTTCTTCTTAGCAGGAGGCAAGGGATCAAAAGCAAGTTGATACTCGGGAAACTCAATTTCAAAGGCAAGGATGATTGCCTCGCCTCTGAGGGATAGACAAGGTAGCTTTAATTAACTAATGACGATGGTGGGGTTGCTTTGGTTATGCTTGATGCTTTTGCAGTAATTTGTTTACTCTGTTACTTTGTCCATTACTCTGGACATTATGAATGGTGAAAAACCATTATAAAAATAAGTAAGTCACTGTCAGCCCAAATGGGGAAATTTGGTATAATCTGATTGGTGGTCATAATTTATTGTGTCTGATGCACAGAAGAGAGTTGTACTTATTCCTTCAAAATCATCCAGCTTTAAAGTGTAAGAATAAGTACTTGTCCATAATACTGTCTTGATCTCTTTGGGGGAGAGGTGGTACTCTCTCACACACACCATAAGTTGCAAAGGAATAATAGTTAAAAAAATCTCCCAAAAGATTAAAGGACATTTCAGCACTTGATGCTGAAATAGTAAATAAATTTATATACTATGAAAATTTTTCTTCAAATAAAATTGATAATTACTCTGTCCAATCCATTAATTTCAGTAGACTAAGACACTATTATTTCTGCTTTGAACCGAACTGCTTAAAATTAGTCTGAGTTTATGAACAAGACATAGGAGACAGTATCCCTCCTCCTATGAACAAGCAGATCTTGTCTTGAAATCATTAGCTGCACATATGTAAGGATGTTCACAAAACTATAATTCACAGTGTATGCTGTGGTTAAAAATAGGACATTGTTAGCCTAGTATATATTTTTTCATTTTTAAAAATTAAATTTATTTCACTATGATTTCCCTTTGTGCCATCCTTGCATTCAAGTTGCGAACAACTTGAATATTAAAATATAATAAAACATGGTTTTAATACTTATCAACTTTTTGTTTCTGTTTAGTTAGAACTGGGATATATAGAAAAATATAATAAAGGTGAGTGACAATTTCAGGAATACTCACACAGTTGTAAGTTGAAAGCCTTAAATAGTGATGCAAGAGTTAGGTTCACTCCTTTCTATGTGCATAATGCAGTATGTGAATGCTGTACATTTTTAAGTTCTAAAGATTACAAAGTTGGATAATTTCCCTAGAAAATTTAAGCATCCATATTTATTTACATTACTTTTATCTGATTTTTAGGGTAGGGGGAGAGACAGAGTAGATTCATTATATTGTAAGTCCCACCACCCATTAGCTACCTTTTGCAATAAAAACAGCTATTAAAATAAAGAAAAAGATGTGAAGAATGCATCTAAACAAGACTTTTGTGAAATAATTTTGCTGAGTAATTGAAAACGGTAGCATTCAAATATACAAAAAACTCATACATATTGTGTAATGACAACATTGTGTTGCCATTATCATTTAAAAGAGGAACCTTTCAAAAGAATACCCATATACACAGAAAGGACAAAGTTAAAAAGAGAGAACAAAAAAAAAGGCAATAAAGTTTTCCTCCAGAAAATAGGATTAGTTGCTGTGATATTTTTTATAGAAAATCACAGCAGCTAGTGGGTATATGACCAATTTAACTGAAAAATGAAAAACTTATTTGGAGGGTCTCTAAATAGTACACTTTTAAAATGTGTCACCTTTATGAGCTATAGATAAACCCAGCATTATGTTTATATTAATTCTGAAAGTATTATTTTTTGTATCTATGTATGAACTTTTGAGGGGAGGATATGCACTAGAAGTTTAAATCCAACTCATCTGCAAGCTACCTGTTAGAGGTGGCTGACTTACTTCTTGCATTGTGTCTAATTTTTCAGTTTTGTTGATTATGGTACCCTGCCATAAGATCATTTTTTAAGATTAGAAGTGCAGTATCTTCAGTTTGGAAATAAATGCAGCTATATGATTAGACCATTCAGTTTTAATGGATTTCACCAGAATACTGGAACAATAATCATGCCATTTTGGGAACTGTGATCAGTTCTCAACATATCTGGAGACTACTAAGCTATATCTTAAATTAATTATAGTTATTTTCATATCTCACACTAATGTTTTCTTAAGTTTTTGTTTAGCAAGATGTGTATTATATGTGTATTCATACACAATAGAAAATACTTTTCAGTTGAAGTGTGTATAGGATTGTATCCTTAAGCATAAATACATCTTATCACATGTGGTTTTAAAAATAAGACAACATAATAATAATAATAATAATGTAAACATTAATGATGCAATCATTAATTATTACGGTATATTCTTCATATAATGTTAATTATATAGCATTAATTGCTATCTAGTTCCTGATGTTCTAGATCAGGAGTGTCAAACTGCCGGCCCATGGGCCGGATGGGTCACAAGGAAACCACGCCCACCCCATTGACGGCAATGGGGAAAAAGTTCTAATACATCGCACGATGTCACGTGGTGTTGTGAGTTTGACATGTCTCTTTTAGATAGTTTAACTATACAAAATAGGAGGCAGTCTCATTAAGGAATCACTTTGGGGTTGCAGGTGTCATTGAAAATTGTGGTTTGGGTGCCTTTTATCAGCTTAGCTAATATACCAATTATGAACTTATTTGGACATATGCCTAACTATAACTGCTCATATTTAAGCAATATTTGTGTGGATTATTGCAATCTATTAACTATGTGGCGGCCTTTGGCACTGTATACCTTTGGCACAACCCAAGTTAGGATAGTGAGATTATTGCTTTCAGACTGGGATGAATTCTTCAGTAATATTATGCAAATCTTTTGTAGTCTTCACTGTTTTAAGTGTTAAAACTGTGGATGATCAAATGCTACCCTTGGAGGTTGTTTAACTTCCAATGCATGTTGTGATGGCAGTTAATATCAAGTAGTACCTATGTTCAGTACCTGAATACATGCCACCCAGTGTCCGTAGGGAAGGTAAAAGGATCAAGTGATGTAATTTGTGTCATAATCTCACTGTGAAAATGGTACAAATTATATAATTTGCATCAGCTGCATCATGACATGACTGATACAAATTATTATTATTTGCACAAGGAGATCATGAGGTTTGTGAAGTCATTGTGACTTGTGGCTCATGTGCCTATCCCTATGTAAAATCACCTGAAAGCTCTATGATGATGGACTGCTGCTAAAAATAAGGCTTTTGCATTGATGACACAGCGGTCTTTAGAAGCTATAGTGGTATCAAAATATCATGGTACAAATGAAGCAAATTATGCAATTCAGTGTCTTGATACATGTGATGTCATTCCCTCAGGATAGCCATGAATGGTACTCTGGCTATGAAGTGTCTGCATGAGGGAGATTGCTTGGTTGTTGTTTTTGTGCCTGTTAAAGATGTTTTCTTTTGACAAGTATTTAGTTTTTAAAAGTGCTTATACTTTCTCATTTTGCATGTCATACTTTTATTTTCATTTCAATTGTATTTTTCTTAGTTTGTTTATATACTATGTTTATAGTCACTTATTAGCACTTTAGAATGGAAATGCCCCGATCTGGAAACCTCTGTATTATTTATGAAAAATATTTCATTTAATAAGAATGAGAGAAATAATCCAACAATGAATTTCTTTTGAAAACAGTCTTTTACAAATCCTAATCTGTATAACTGAAGAGTAATAACATTCAGAATTTCAAAAGAAATAAAATATCTTGAACCATTTTGGTAAGATTTACAGTTTTTACTCGTACATTGTTCAAAGTAATAACATTCTCTCCTTGTGTTGAATGAGCTTGTTCAACATGAATAAAGGACCAGTTATCTATAATTTTACAGCCTGTTTTCAAAACATACAACATGATTTAGATAACTGAAACAAATAGAAGTATAAAAGGCATTTTTGTTATGGAATTGTAATGGCAATTTGTAAAAGAAATTTATGATGCTTTAAGAAGTTACAGGCCTGGGATAAGAATGAAAAAAATACACTAATGAGTAGCTATTTCATTAAATATACAGAAACATGGCTAATTTATCACTCAAACCTTGTTAAAAATAAAGGGATAAAGAATCAGCCCACTGCAATATTCATTTTGAAGGTTTTAGGACATAATGAATTTGAATAAATGGCATATTTGGAGTTCTGAAAACTTCTCATTGCTGTTGCAGATCTCTTGTGGAGGGGAAAAGCTTTCTCAGTTTACTCATTTTTACTCAGAAGAGTACATTTTCAAGCAAAGCACTGAGTTGTAGTTCCTTATATTATTATTTTAGGTGTAAAAAACTTGTTATGTAATTGATTACAGGTAGTCGTTGACTTACGATCATTGGTTTAATGACCGTTTGAAGTTACAATGGCATTGACAAAAGGTGACTTAAAACCAGTCAATGTAGTGTCCCCAGCATCATGTGATCAACATTCAGATTCTTGGCAACCAACATATATTTATATAGTTGCATCATCCTGGAATTGCATGATTGCCATTTATAACCTTCCCAGGGGGCTTCTGACAGGCAAAATCAAGGGGGGGGGGGAAGCTGGAGTCACTTAAAAGACTATGGTAAAAATGGTCTTAAAATTGGGCATGACTCACTTAATCACAGTGTTGCTTAGTGATGGAAGCTTTGGTGTTAATTGTGGTTATAAGTTGAGGATAACTATATATTGATTCTAATCTTGTTTTAAGTATTAAAAAATAAAAAAAAATTTGTTAATTAAAAATTAAATGTAAGTATTTAAAAAATAGTACTAAGTTATGACATTGGCAGTTATGACATTGGCCTAGAAACCAGAAGGTTCAGTTCCAAACCTCTTTTGGGCATGAGGACCAACTGGGCAACCTTGGGCTAGTCACTCTCTCTCTCAGTTCAACTTACCTCAGTTGGGGTTGCCCAATTCCATGCTTCCATATCATCTGCTTTTCTTCAGATCTGTTATTAATCTTCTTTCTTTTTAGTTATACATATCTCTGTTTTTGCTTGTTTAATTTTTAGTTTGATTTCTGGCCTAGTGGCTATAGTAAAGATTTGACCTCATTCAGATTGATTTGACTTGGAATGGGAGTATACAATAATAGGCATTAATTAACAGGTGAAATGAAGGAAAGAAAAATAGATATAGAAAATAAATAGAGAGAAACAACCTTCTAGAACTAAGGAGAAATTTCCTGACAGAACAATTAATCAGTGGAACAATCTGCCTCCAGAAGCTGTGAATGTTCCAACTCTGGAAGTTTTTAAGAAGAGACTGGACAGCCATTTGTCTGAAATGGTATAGGGTTTCCTGCCTGAGCAGGGGGTTGGATTAGATGACCTCCAAGGTCCCTTCCAACTCCTCCAATTATTATTATTAGATATGCAATGTGCTCATGAAACTGAGAGAAAGGGGAAGTATGTAATTCAGTGGTCTGATATGAGAAATAAGGAAGTAAAGATGTAGGTTATGATGTCCCTAAAAGTTAAAATGTATGTCAGCAAGTGTAAATGGGTGACATTTCAATTGAAGGGTCGTTGGTGTTCTCTGAGCTTGATTTTCTTGCAGACGTTTCATTACCAAACTAGGTAACATCATCAATGCTACTGATATATTTCCTAGTTTGGTAATGAAACATCTGCAAAAAAAGCCAAGCTCAGGGAGTATCAAGGACCCTCATTCAAACCTGAGCTACAAATATTCTCCTCTATCGATATCTAATTTATTATGGGTGCTGATGAAAGTAGGAATTCATAGGCTGCTGATAATTGTATGTAGGCACTCTAGTGAATCATATAATGGAAGGAGAGTTTTGGGAGAACATTTGGGAATACAGAAATTTTGCCTACTCACAGGAATGGTCTTGTCATTGAATGTTGATTGAGGTGATGTGATACTTTTAATTCTGTGATTAGCTTCCTGTAAGCCACTATTGGTATTATGCATAGGAGCCTCAATAGGTATATTAAAAAAAACCCTCAAACATTTGAATGTAATCTAAGGGGGCAAAATTATCCTGTTAACTGATATTAATAGATGGATGGGAAGAATGGGGAACAATATAACAAGTTAGAGATATCTCCTGAATTTTATTATTAATGTAGATTACAGAAATCCAAATACTTTGTATGTGTGACTTTAGTTGAAGAGAAAAAGTTTAATTGAACAATAATTAACAGCAACAAAAGATATTTAACCAATTCCTTCATTTCTTCCTTTCTTGATAAATTACAAAGTGACAAAAAAAAAAAAAACCCAACTCCTCACTATCACTTTAAGGACTGACTAACATAAAAGTGGATCGTTTGGCAAATTAAAACAAATAGACATAATAAATTGCAAATATAATCTGGGCAAGAGAAACAGATTAAAGTATTTAAATCTAGACCTATTAGTCTATCTGCTAACAATGATGGACATTAGGATCGTGTTAAGAAAGAATGAGGATCTCTACAATCCTAATATATTAACCACTTTTAATAGAAAAAAAATTGACCTGGGAATACATACCGTTCCTTTCTCCAGTATAGGAGATGGAGAAACCACCAATGGGGTTTCTCTGTCTGCCTGCTCTTGAGACCAAGTAGCCAAACTTGACACGCCCCTCTTGCTAGGAGACCCAGTCTTGACTTGGTCTCAAGCTGTTGAAGACGTGTCAGGGTTGGCTTTCTCAGCAGATTAGCAGGTAGTAAACCATTGGTGAATTCTCCCTTTAATAGTAATATCCCTCAATATAATTTAATAATCCTCACAGTCTGGGAATCATTTCCTACAGTTCCCTGCAGCGCTGGGCTCAGCGCTGCCTTAAATCGGAGGCTTTTGAACTGCAGGGTGTGTGTGTGTGAGGGGAAAGACAATTGCCTTTAATTCGTTCCATTTTCCCCAGGGCTCTGGGGGAAAGGAATTTGTTGTTTTTTTGTGAGCAGCTCACAAACTGCCTTAGGTGAAATTATCACCTCCCCTCTTAGGACCCAAGCAACAGCGTTCCCACTCAGATTGATTCTATTTTACTTCCCAGACCTCCAGAGCTGTTTGGGACACTGCGGGTGCCATTTTGGCTGCCGTTTGAGGCAGCAAAATTTAAAACAACTCCCAAGGCTCCGTTTTTTCCTTTCTCACGATCGGAGACAAATTGGAGCAATTTCCCACAGCCAGTGCACTAGCTTCTACCAGGACATTCCCAACGTTGGGGAAACTTCCCCTGTGTGGTCACAGTAGTTGTTTTCAGCAGCAGAGCTAGTGGCGGCTGCCATTTTTTTTAGCGCTAAAACAACGAAGAGTAAAAAGTTTTCCTGGCATACCTAGGCTGTTTAATCTTCCTCCTATGATTTAATTGTTTCTGTCTTCTGGATCTTTGGTCCCTGGTCAGGTCACACAGCCCTAGAGTCCATAATTTCCACCCGAATTCTGACGGCTGCCATTTTGAATGCCACATAAAAAAAAATTGAACAAATAAATAAATAAATAAAATAGAATAAATTAAAATAAAATTTAGACCTCATCAGGCCAGAGCCTTATAGTCACAAAGGCCTGAGTGATTTTTGAGGGACGTTTTGTTTTATAATATTATACACTAAATTAATCAAGCTTCTATTGATCCTCATCTTTCCTTGCCTGGCTTCTATTCAGACTCTCTGTGCCCTTCATTGGGCCATCTGGTGCACTTTGACTGGCCACCTAAGGCCTCCGAGTGGAGCCCAGAGCAGGTCCCCAACCATACCTTTGGCATCAGCTGCCATTGCCGTGACCAAGCCCAGATAGAGTTGCCTTTTTGGTCAGATGGTTAGGGGAGCAGTCCTCGTTACTTGCTCCAATTTCGCTTCTGCCAACTGCTTCCCTGCCAGAGCTTTGCCTCAGTTTCCCTGAGACAGCTCAACCTAGGATGGAGGACTCCACTGGGCCTCAACCCATGTGCACAGCTCCTCCATCCTCTCGTTACGGCTGACAGACCACCTCCAATCCAGAGGGAGCAGGCAAGCCCACAACCAAGGCTATGGGCACTCTCAGGAAAACTTCCAAGTTGGCAGAAAAGCATGCCAGCCATAAGCACCAGGCTCTGGAGAAGGAGCTCTCCAGAGTGCAGAGACAGGCAGAATTATAGATGGACCAAGTGGCGGCCCCTGAGTTTGACCTTCCTTTAGGTCCTTCGACCTCAGTTCAGGGCGTGTAGTCTCTGACGGAAGATTCCACCACACCTTCTGTACCACCTCAGTAAACAGTTACTAATCCCTCACTTCACTTGGGTTCAGCCCCTGAGGCTACCTTTACTCCAATTGCAGCAGGACTCAGGGGTCCTGACCTTGGAAATATTTTCTCCGATATATGAATGGAGGCCCTGTTATCCAAGGTGTTGGACCGCACTCTAGCAGAACGATCTCTCCATCCACCTGAACGGGGGGCATCCACATCAGCTGCGCCGCCTTATGTTCCTCCTTCAGGGATCCCTATATTCTCAATGAGCGGATACTCATCTCTGCAGGGGTGAGGACCAACCGGACTTCAATTTTTCAGAGGAGGAGGAACTCCCCCCTGAACCCTCCCCATCTGGAGGTCTATTCAATCCGGCCCTGTTTTCTTCCCTTGCTTAGCAGGGTCACCTCAACCGCAAATATTGGGTCGGATCAGTCCCCTCAACTACAGGCCACATTGGATTTCAGTCCAAATCCAATATTCTGTGAAATGGTGGCAGCCCAGCACCACGCTCCCTCTCTTTCTATATTAAGGGGATTAAAAAGCAATGGGTCTCCCCTTCCTCATGTCCTTCCGTAAGCAAGTCAGATAAAAAGGATCCTTGGTACCTCTACAGACTTAAGTGAGGCCCTTGAGGTCCCCAAGGTGGATGAGGCCTGGGTCCCACTGGCATCCCAGACTGCAGTCACTGGAGATATGTCTAAGGCACTTAAAGTGGACAACAAGAAGTGGGAACAGACTTTTCATAAGACTCATCAATCAGTGGCATGGGCTATCAAAACAGCCACCTGGGCATCCTTTTTTGTCCGGACCACCCTCTTATGGCTGTGCCAACTACAGGCCAGAGTCCTTCATGAGGACATTCGGACTCCCAGCATCTAAATACAATGGTGGCTGCAACTGAGTATGCCACGGATGCGGCTCTTCAGTAGGCCAACTTTGCTTCCAGGTCCCTAACCTCCAACATCACAGCCAGAAGGATGCTATGGCTGAAACACTTGCTGGCTGACGCCAAAGTCAAATGGTGTCTCGCTACTGCCTCATATCTGGGCAACAATCTCTTTGGGAGATACTGAATCCGTACCTTGTTGAGAACAGGGATAAATGGAAGGTTATGGCACACCTTACTAGACGGTCTGACAAAAATGCCAATCCATATTTCCGCAGGCAGTTCCTTTGAACAGCAGCAGGTTCAGCAGCTCCCCCAGCCCCCCCCATTCATACACACCCCACCAGGACAGGCCATATGACTGTCTGTATGATAGATCAGGCTTTCGCCCCAGGCAGCAGAACCAATCTAAGAAGCCAGTTCGAGGGGCAGGACGTCCCTTCAGGAAGTCCAAAGGACTCTCACTCCACACTCCTCATAGGGGGAAGACTTGCCCACTTCTTCCATCAGTGGGAACTCACATCCACGGACGTCTGGGTCTTACTATCCCTGGAATTTCTGGCCAGTCTCCCGGATCGCTTAATCTCCTGTTCCACCTCTCAGGATCTGATAAAATAAAGGGACTTATGCAGGAGGCCATTCAACATCTCCTAGAGATTTAGTCCATAGAACCGGTTCCGCTGGACCATGTAGGCAGGAGATTCTATTCCGTCCTCTTTGTGTTTCCCAAGCCCTCGGAGGAATGGAGGGCAATTCTAAACTATTACATTGCTTACAAAAAGTTCAAAAAGCAATTCCTCCAGTCCATTCTGGATGCCATCAGACAAGGAGACTTCCTGATATCAATATACCTCACAGAAGCGTATGTCCATATCCCCATCCATTCAGAACACCGGCGGTTCCTCAAGCTCTGTTACAGGGGCCCCCACTTCCAGTACAAGACCCTTCCTTTTGGCTTTTCCTCGGCACCCAGGGAGTTCACCAAGATCCTGGCTATTCTGGCTGCCCACTTGTGGAAGGTATTGCTATGCGTCCAATGTTATCTGGACGATATTCTGATCCAAGCGTCCTCCTTCTGGGTGGCCCATTAGGACCTGCAACTAACTATTCAGGTCCTCCAGCAGCACGAGTTCTCAGTGAACTTCCAAAAGAGCCAGATGGTTCCCTCATCCAGGCTCCTGCACCTGGGAGCCATCATAGACACCACAAACTGCCATTGTTCCCTGGGCCAGACTCCACCGGTAGGAGCGCCAATGGTTCCTTCTTCCATTCCAGCAGTTGAATGTCAGCGCATCCAGCTGGCAGGGGTCTCCTTCAAGGAGCCAGACCGCCTCACCATCACGACGGACGCCAGCCTCTTCGGTTGGAGAGCCCACCTTCAGTCTCAGTTTGCGCAGGGATGTTGGTCCCACACAGACTTGAGACACAACATCAATTGGCTGGAATTCAGGGCCGTTCACTTGGCTCTCCATCAATTCTGACACTGGATCAGGTATCCTCATGGACAACGTGGAGCCCAAGGCCCATGTGAATCGGCAGGGGGGCTCCAGGTCCAAGTCCCTTAGGTCCAAGGTCCGGTTACTAGGATCCTGGGCAGAGCCCAACCTGGCCTCTCTCAAGGCTGAACACATCTCGGGGGTCAAGAACCGGCAGGCAGACTTTCCTGGTCGCTCCACGATAGACCCCTCAGAATAGGGACTACATCCGGATCTTTTTTCTGGAATATTCAGCAGGTTCGGCCATCCAGTCATCAACCTGTTTGCTTTGTTGAGCAATGCCCAACTCCCCAGGTACGTCTCCCATTAGTATCTTCTGGGGACGGAAGGGACGGGTGCCCTGCAGACTCCGTGGCCACGGGGCCTTCTTTATGCCTTCCCTCCCCTTCCACTCATTCTGGCAACCATCCACAAACTGTTTCAGGAGCAGGCGGAAGTAATCCTCATGGCTCTATACTGGCCGCAGAGACCCTGGCTTGTGAATCTCATGAATCTCTCCTGCTCTCCTCCGTGGAGGATTCCCCCATATTGCATGGGGTCCTCCAACATCTAGACCCTCAGTGGTTACAGTTAGCTGCCTGGCACTTGAGCGCAACATCATAACACAAGAGTTATTCTCTCCATGGGCAATAACCATGTTTCAGGCCTCTCGTGGACCGGCAACTAATCACATTTGTTCCATATGGAACAATTTTTGCAATTGGTGCAGAAGGTGGCAACTGAATGTGTACAATTTAACTATTCCCCAGATCGTAGACTATCTTCTTGACGGTCTGGACAGAGGCCTGGCCCCTGCGACCCTTCATAGGCATGTAGCGGCCCTATCGACATTGCTCACTTGTTCGGACTCAGTTCCTCTAGCTCATCATCCCAGGATAGGCACTTTCATCAAGGGGGCTTACAACACTAGCCCTCCTGTGGTACACAGGTACCCTTTTTGGGAGCTGCCTCGTGTGCTTCGTGCACTAACAAAACTGCCCTTTGAGCCCATAGTTACTATACCATTGCGGGCTTTATCTCTTAAGGTTACTTTCTTGGTCGCCATTGCATCAGCCAGGTGTGTCTCAGAACTGGCTGCTCTCTCGGTCAGGAATGACCTTTGCACCTTCCACTGAGACCAGGTGGTCTTTCGGTTGGATCCCGGCTTCGTGCCCAAGATCAATTCACCTTTCCATAGAACATAGGAAGTCATCTTGCCTGACTTTTGTCCTGATCTCTCCCATGACTTGGAGCAGCAATGCCATACGTTGGATGTCCGCAGGGCCCTGCGGCGTTACATTAAGTGCACAGAACCCTTTCGATGATCTGGGGACCTTTTTTTGTTTCCTTCCGCCCGGCTTCCCTGGGACAGAAGGTATCCGCTGGCACTATCGGCAGGTGGATCAGGTCCTGTATCGGAGGCATACCAATCTTCCTCCTTACCAACTCCAAGTCATATTACGGCCCATTCCACTCGCAGCGCTGCGACATCTGTGGCATGGGCCATTCAGGCATCCATCGAAGAGATTTGCAGGGCTGCAACATGGTCATCGCCCTCCCCTTTTAGACATCATTATAGGATTGACTGTTTTGCTTCAGCGGATGCCTCCTTTGGTCAGTGGGTCCCCCAGCAAGTGGTCTCCAGGGACGTAGATTCGGCCTTATCTGTTTCCCACCCATCGGGACAGTGAGGCTTTGGTATGTCCCATTGGTGGATTCTCCATCTCCTGTACTGGAGAAGGGGCGTTGTCTTACCTGAACGCCTTTTCTCAGTATGGAGATGGAGAATCCACACCCACCCTATGGTCAGTTAGGCCGTTATTAGGGAATTGAGAGCCAATGCCTTGTCCTTGCATCAGTCACTTTCGCCCTCATCAAGACTGGATCTCCTAGCAAGAGGGGACGTGTCAAGTTTGGCTACTTGGTCTCAAGAGCAAGCAGGTAGAGAAAACTCATTGATGGATTCTCCATCTCCGTACTGAGAAAAGGCCTTCAGGTAAGACAACGCCCCTTCTCATTTGTATCCTGCTAATATGTTGCTGTTATATAATTTATTTTTTTCAATTTCTATAACTGCCCATCTAAAACAAATGACTCTTTATAAAATATGAGCTAATATAAGATACTTGTAAAAGCAATTGTGTAAATACCGTATGATTAAAAACTTAGAATTGAAAATATATAAAGGATAACAAGTGGTAGGAAGTTATTTTATTTCTGATACAAATACTTTTCAGAAGTCAGTCCTGATTCACATTCAGTTCTCAATTATGTTAGAACAACATGTTGTAAAACAATGGAAACACTTTTCAACTGAATTTAGGCATTCCAAACAGTGTTTGAAATGATAATGCAATTATAATATCGGACACAATTAAAATAGACAAATATATGGTTCTCTTGTTCCATTATCCATTATTATTTACCATATAACAAAGTACACTTAAAATGACTGACACTGAGCATTCAACACAATCATATGAATTGGAGAAGAATGTGATTTCATGCAGTGTGTGCATATATTAGAGATGTCTCAAACATAGAATATTCCTCATAGCCTATGTGTCTTCAGAGTGTTTACAGGGAAAAAGTTATATAGTATATTTTTCTATAATCTAATTTGTTTCCCTGAAACATTTATGGGTCTACAAATTTAAAATAAATTATTGTTTCCACTAGAAGTTTTTAAAAATCAAAATGTATTGGAACTGATAATGACATTCACATTCTTTATGAATTCATGTGAAATTATAGCAGTTATAATGTGCTAATAGCATAATATAATTTCAATGCATTATTATTTAATGCAGTAAATCAAATGTGCAACTTTTGCTGATCTGCTTTTTTTCTCACATTAATCAGAAACTACTTTTGACAAACAAGCACTGCATACAGATGGTTTAACTATTCCAACTTTTTTATATAAAGATGTAAAATGGATTCAGAAATTCTTTTGAGTCCTGTAGGTATATTGGATTGAAGCCTGTAAGAAATAAATAGTGATTAGAGAAAAGGTAAATTTAAAATCCATATATTTTTGCTTTTCTAAGAACCATTTGCTCTATAATTACAGCAAGATTTGGGATGGAACAAGTTACTCAAATTAGAATTTTATGTATGTGTAGCAATAAAGTTAAATAGGACAAGCTTTATAAACTAGGAGCTAAGATAAGAACCTTGTAAAAGTTGTATAAAAAGAAAAACATTTTGGATACAGACATGTAGAAAATTGGTGCTTCTAGAAAAAGCACCAATTACAAGATGCAAATTTGTGTCTGAGTTCTGAATAGTTTGTCTTAACTTTTAACTCCTAATTGATTTTAGTATTAATTTTAGTATTAAATGTAATATATATTTTTAGGTTTTATATTCTGCTTTTTAAAAGTTGGTTAGCTTTCTTGAATACTTGTCTCAGTAGATTGATCTTGCTGCTACCAGCAACACAACAGTGGTTGGATTAAGTGAGGTACAGTGGTGTGAATATACCATTAATTGACCTTACCACCTTGGACTACACCATTAATTGACCTTACCACCTTGGACTACACCATTAATTGGGCTACCACCTGGACTATTTCCAGTCATTGCCAAGTCGCTCTGGGGCCCTAGCTGGCCTGTTACCAGACCTCTGACCACGAGATTCCTCTCAGTCTCAACGCTGAGATATCTCTTGTGCCAATGGCAGACACCATTGCTGCGCAGGCAGCACAGGACTCCTCCATTAGCCCTCCTGGATGTAAGAGGGCAAGATCATGTAATCAAGAGGCAGCAGGCAGGATCAAGGCCAAGGCAATATCTGGCAAAAGATCCTCCAAGGCAGGCCAAATGTCAACACCAGGCTGTGGATTCATTTGATTTCAGCATTTGCTGGGATAGGTTGAGACTATTTTAGTGAACTTAAGGAACAAGATGAGAAAATGTGCAGCCTTGTTAGTTTTTCTGGATCTTTAGTGGTTTTAAATATTATCAGCCATATCTTCCTTTATTTTGACTGCCTAGTGAGGCTGTACTTGGCGATATTAAGTGATTATTTAGCAATTAGTTATCACATAGAATTTCATCTTGTCATCTACTGAGAGAAGTTTTTTAGAGTCTTGGAATAAGGTATCATCCATATTCTGATGACACCCAATTCTGTTGGTCATCTAATTTCTAAAGGTGGTTTATTTGCTTTTCTAGGACCTAAGTCTATAGTGCACTGGATAAGGATGAACATTAAATTAAATTCACTCAGTGGGGAAGCCAGATTCACTTAACAACTGTGCCAAAAAAGGCTGCAAAATGGCAAAACTCACTTAACAACTAAAATTTTGGGATCAATTGTGATCATAAGTTTAAGACTACCTGTAGATCAGCGGTTCTCAACCTGTGGGTTGCGACCCCATTTGGGGTCGAACGACCATTTCACGGGGGTTGCCAAACAATGCAATCCGCCATTTTTTCTCAGCTGGCGGCACCGTGCATGTACGCCACGCCGCGCATGCGCGCTGCGCATGGGGCGATGTATGGGGCAGCACCGCACATGCGGCAGCACCGCACATGCGGCCCCTCGCATGTGCGCCACGCATGGGGCAGCACATAAGGTCGCCACCGCACATGCGCGTTGCGCATGGGGACGCCATTGTGCATGCGTGCCACACATGGGGGGCGTTGCGCATGTGTGCCGTGCATGGGGGCGCCATTGCGCATGCGTGCCGCACATGGGGGCGCCGGTATAAAAAGGTTGAGAACCACTGCTGTAGATGCTTTTTTATGTACGAGTGAAAGCATTGGCATTGACCTTTAGAGATCTAAATGACTTGGGACCCAAAGGACTCCCAAATTCAATATGACCCTATCTAGTTCTCATAAGATCATCAGGAGATGCTCTTACTTTCTGAGGTCCATTTGGACAAATGAGAAAGTTCTTCTGCTCTGTTGTGGCTAACCTACAGACTGTGTTATCCCAGGCATTACATTAAACCCTTACTTTTGGACTTTTAGGGGAAATGTCAAGATATTCTCCTTTGACCAGGCTTTTTCAAATTCAATTAATTATGCATAATTTTGATTTTTTTTTATTAGTTGTGATGTAAGGGTTCTGGTCTTTGACTTGGAGTGGAGAGATTCAGGTTCTAGTCCATCCTCAACCATTGAACCTCCATAGTTGATTAATAAATAAAATATATTTATTATCAGACCATCCCCTGAGCAGAAACGTAGGATATAAATAACAACAAAATTTCCATAATTTGGACAGCTGGATTTTGCCTTCATGGGAAAATATTCATGATAAGAGATTCATGACAGTGATTTTAAAATATGCAAAAGGCTGTTGTGTAAAAGATGCAGCAAAATAGTTCTGTACTACTTCCAAGAGCAAAATTAGAACTCATACTTGGAAAGAACAGATTTTCACTTAACATTATAAAAGCTTATGGTAAATGTGAGAATGAAATAAGCTTGGCTTTATTTGGAGTAAGGATGATGTAGCAATATCCTGCACTGAGTAGGAAGTTGAACTGCATAATTTGCAGAATTCTTCCATATCTGGTAGCATTTTGGCCTTCTCTTTGGCCTGGGATTCCAGCTCTGGAATATTGCAAGAATTGTGGTGTTCATTGCTGGACATCTACTAGCTTTTAATAACAAAAGGGGCAAATATCAGGCTGATACCTAATTGATTTTTTAGAGATCCTTTAACATTGGGAAAAGATGTTATAGTTCTGCAAGACAAGGTATATTTTCACAATGTAGACAGATCTAATTTTTTCCCATTTGGGGGCTGTTTTCCTGTAGTAATCTATTGATAATCAGACAAGTTTCCTGCTTCTCCAAAAATAAGGTGTTTATTTCTTATGGATTAAAAGATAACAAACTAATTGTATCATAGCATCAGTCTGTTTTTGATTATTATATTAGATTGCTGTGCAAGATATGGATTATAATGATACCATTAGTAAAATAATTGCACGAAGTCAAGAGCGCATAATAATATAACTGTAAGAACAATTGTGTGTCTAATGCATAATTTTGTCAGTTATAGTGCACACATACCTATTGTCACAAATGTAAAAGGTTGAAATTTTTACTTCAGGACTGGATTAGTATGAAAGGTTGGTCCTGTACTCGCCTAATCATTTTTCTAAATGAAACAACATTTTTGCACCTGTTCCATTGAAAAGCAGAATAATTAATACAGCAAGATCCCAGACAATCTATTTTTGCAAAATTTGAGTAACATAAACAACAATTCCAGTTAAATACACAATGGTTCAAATTCATTGCATACAAATTCAATTGAAGGACAGACCTTGGGAACAGAATTCATTCTTAAACTGGGGACTATCTGTACTTGCATCTTTGCAATGGCAGTTTTGTTAATTTTATATAGCTGTGTATGGTTGCGTTAAAATAGCAGAGTTCATCAGAATTTTTCAGCATTCTGGTCTATGGAAATAAATAACATTCTGATGAAAATAATTCAGTTGCACTGATCCAGCTTCTTTCCATGGAAGTTACGGGGAAGAGATCATCCTCCAAATAGACTAAGCAGGATATGCAGAGTAATAGCATACTGTGATACCTGATTTTGGCTTGTTAGGAAGATACAAGCCGGAGTTCTTGTCTTATAGATCATAATAAATAAGTCATAGAAGGTGCTTCCAGAATTTTTCTATTTGCCATGCTGATGACTGTCATTCGGATGCACTCTTGTTACATGCATCAGACTGCTCATCCTCAGTCTAAAAACCCATGAATTTCTGTGATATCTCTACAGGGTTTTTTAAAAATTTTTTTTAGCTATAATTGGACTTCTGTGTTCTGTGCTGCAAGATATCCATAAAGTTCCTTTGTGCACAACTTTTCTTTTTACTAAAGAATATAAATACGTTTTCTTCTAAAGTAGAAAATGTTTTAATATTTTAATTGGAATTTCACACATTAACAGAATGAACAATTATATTTTTTAAATATTAGAAAATACAAATAAATGCAAATAAACACAAAGTCATTGGAACATCACTTTTCATAATGTGTTAGGGTAGTTTGGTTGAGCCACTATAACTTGTAAAAGCTGCAGCGATCATATTCCACATTATTATATTTCAAGGAACTGTATTTGCTTATTTTTCTTTGTTCAGCTTTTCTCCAAGGTCAGTGGTTCATAATTGTGATTAAAAAAGCATTTGAAGGGTTTGTCTCATTTTCCCACTAGTATATGAATGTTACCTGTCTAGATGTTACAATTAGCTAATTTGTTATCAGAGATTTTGTTTTGTATGCATTATCAAAATTAATTTTTCATTACTTTTGGTATGTCTTTTAAAATGTATTTTAAAAGGTATTTTTTTTGAATTTATTATTCATTATTTCTCTTAAAATAGCTTGTTCAGAGTTTATCCAGCACTGTGTGTTACAATCTCAAATGGAAATAAGGTTCAGTTTTATTACATCCGCACAATATTTAGGATATAAGGTTTTGTTTATATAGCTAAACATTACAAGGTTAAATATAATTAGTATGTAATTTTAGAGCATTTTTTTCTTTGCTAAGTTAGAGTTTTATGACATAGAACAGTGATGGCGAACCTTTTAGAGACTGATTGCCCAAACTGCAACGCAAAACCCACTTATGTATCGAGTGCTGGGTAGGTGTGGCCTATTGGGTGGGCATGGCTGCGGTAGTAACCGCATACTGGATGGGTTTAAAAAGTTCAATCAATTCCAACTTTGCAAGATCTTTTTTTTCCCGTGAGAAGTTGAAATTGATTGATTGATTGAACTTTTTTTTTTCACATGGTGGCGGAGGCCTAAAGCGCAAAGGTTTTATAAAACCCAGCTGGAGGCTAGTATTGGGGCGACGGTGCGCATGCCCAAAGAGAAGGCTTTGTGTGCCACCTGTGGTTTGCCACCACAGACATAGAGAGTGGAAATCTTTTGTGGATCAGCCTTGAGTGATTTTGTATCTCTACTTAATATTTGCAAATTAGTGGACCGGGAAATTCTGTCTCCAGAAGACTATATAAAGGGATAGTACTGTGATATTTGTAATGCTAAAGCGAAATCTATAAATTGTAAGAAGTTCATTATTTCTGTTAAATGAGTTTTTGATTAAGCTCGTATCAGAAATTCCCTTCGGGTGCCCTGTACTTCAGTAATTTAAAACTACTGTCAATTGAAAACACAAATTTATGAAAGTGTGTGCTGTGTTTAGATGTAAAATGGAATAATGCATTCTGACATATAGCCCAGATACCCTTTAAAGCTCCACTTTGCTGCTTGGATAAGGCAAGGCAGAGTGCAAGTGAATTAATCTTCAAGACAACATTGTGCTAGGTGTGTACAGGGATTGGAGGGCTGATGCTTGAAGTTACATGCTATCTATAAAGTATTCTTGTGACTTGAAATGTTACAAAAACTTTAATGGAAAGATCAGCTGGTCAGATTGGTACAGGTAGGCCTCAACTTATAACCGTTTGTTTAGTGACTCTTCAAAGTTACAAAGGCACTGAAAAAAGTGGTTATGACCAGTCCTCATACTTATAGCCACCATAACTTTCCAGCTGAAGTCTGACAAGCAAAGTCAAGGGAAGAAGCCAGATTTGCTTAACAGTGTGATTCACTTAACAACTGCAGTGATTCACATAACAAACATGGTAAAAATGGTCATAAAATGGGGTGAGAATCTGCCTTCTTAGCAACTGAAATTTTGTGGCCAATTGTGGCTATAAGTCAAGGACTCCCTCTATTTCTACTATGCCAAGAGATAAATAACTTTAAACGGTGTAAACGTCACAGATTTTTAACGTGTTATCTTTTAGTCATGTTCACTTTCCAGATTTCAGGGCAAAAAACCAGTTTTCTTCCTCCCAGAACGTCATAGTGATTTAATACTTACTACTGCATTAAACAGAATCTATTGTGTTTGTTTTTTCTTTGTAGTATGAAGCTCAGACTCAGTCATTTTCAACAATAATAACAATGCCATTTTCAGTGTTGCTGTTCCTTTATATTTATAACAATTCATTCTGTACAAAATACTAAGAATGCAATGTGTTCATGGCTGAGAACATCCACATGCCCTGATTTTATCTTTATTTGTCGAACTTATTTTTCTAACAAGAGAAAGGTGATGCCTCTAGGCTTGAAACATCTCAAAGTGATGTCACACACCCGCAGAAATGCACCCATTGCATTTTCAAAATAATAATATAGTTTAGTGATAGAGCATAATACCATTCATACCCCCCCTCCCCCATTCCCCCCTCCCCACTGCAAACCTGGCATCTCCATATAAGCTGAAAAAGAGTATATCTGAAATATTAATGAGTCACTGTTTATGAGTAGACCAGAAGAAGAATTATACATGTCCCCTTAGTAAAAGATATTTATTAAGTAAAAGATTTTGAGTGTTTTTTTGAGAAATGTTAAGAAAATGTGCACGAAGGAATTATGGACATCAAGGAAATGTGAGAGGTGATGGATGCAGTTAATGTGAAGAATTTGCTGAGAAGAGAACGAGGGTAAGGATGAGAAGAAATAGAAGGAGGAGGAGGAACTTAAAAGTAGTAGGCATAGATAAATGATTGGTTTGTGAGTAGCGTTGTTGAAAAGAATGCACAGTTATGTTGAGTAAGGGTTGGTTATCGTTTAGAATTATAGATAATTAGATAAGGTTATCTAATAGGTTATCTAAATAGATAAGATTATTGTATAGAATCATATGGAATTATTTTTTCATATATATTTTTGTAACTACTTGTTCTAACTGCTGAATTCTGTAACTAAAGTTATAATTTCCTGGACTATTACCTTTTAACAATGGTTTTGGAGTTCTACTACTGTCTGCAAGTCAGTGTGAGTTATCAACAAGATATTTGGAAAGTTATTAAAGGAAATGTTTAGTAAATTATAAGTTGAATTGTATAGTAATACTTCAGATTGTGGAGCTTTTGGACAAACCCTTAGAAAATCATATAATGATTCCAAAGAAGGTCATGGACAACAATTACCTTGCTTTTTTTGGTTTCTGGCACTAAAGAAATCTATGAAGCCATATTGAAAACCTTTCTTTTCCCTCCTAGGATAGAACTCCTTCTTAGGATAATATTCCATGAACGTAACTTGAGAAACTGAAATAAAGTCCATCATCACCTGAAGGGGAAAAAGAAATGAAAAATTAAATGAAATATTGTGATTGAAGTGTTGGTCTGAGACTAAGAAGACTGAACTTCTGGTTTACACTAAGTTCTAGCACCATTAGCTTCAACTGCATAATGGTAATAATAAAATGCTTTTGTGACTGTACCCCAGTCCATTCTGGTTATAAAGTAATCCCAAAGGGCTTTTTTCACTTCACAGACTCTTAAAAAAAACCCCTACAATACTAGAAAAGTGATCAGGTTGGCCAACCCAGGTGGTAATATAGATCCTGTATTAGTAGAGTGTTTTTCTTCCACATTTTTTTCTGCCTGGTGAACAGAACGAAAGCGACAAGCTTTAGCAATGGACCACACTTGCAGAAGACGATCTTTGTTACCATATATCTTTTAAAATTGGAACAGATTAGATGACAGTCATGGAAGCTGAGGATTAGATGACAATCATGGAAGGGAGAACTGTGTTCTCTTCCTCACTTCCCTTCTTTGTTGCAAGGATCATAATGTGCTCAACAGAATTTGAATTGGTTGACTCTTCTTCTCTTTTCTATGGACTTTAAAAAAAATCTTCTAATTCTAAAGTGTAATAGGAATACCTTTATGTTTAACATAATTTAAAAAATCAGTTTGGTTTGATAAAAAGAATAATAATTAGACAATATATTAAGGATGCAACATTTCAGCCTTTTCTGTCTTTGTTTCTATTTTTAAATTTATTTTTAAGAAGAGAAGTTCAAGCACAGAATAGGGTACAACATTTCCTTTCAGTTCAAGAAACAGAGTAGCAATTTGTACTGTTAAGAGACACAAACCTTGTTTCTTAGTCTATTGTCTTTGAAATGAATTTGTTTCCATTTCACCTGATGTAGCTACTGCATATTGATGTATCCTAACAAACTCGTTCTGGATACAAACCCTTGTATAGTGCAATAACTCTGCCGTTTCTGCTTGGAATACAATGAGATGGGAATGAGGTAGCATAATCTTGACATGATGCAATAGACTGGGCTTGTTTTATGTAACCAGTCGATTGGCCCTGCCTTTTTGAGTGGTGGACTGTCAGTCTTCTCCGCTCAGCGTGCCAAGACCAGACTTCACAGCCTGGGATAGAAGATATCCTGCTTCCCTGAGGGTCGAAGACCTGTCGGCCATGTTCACATGGTTTGGGCCATCTGCAGAGATAGCATATTGGGTTGTGGCAGCTGCACATGTTACAGCTACTTGGAGCCACAGGTGAGAACTGAGCACTAGGTAAGGACCAAAAATGAACGACTAGTTCTAAAAAGGCCCCCCCACCACAGCTTCTACTCTTCCTGGGCATCCTATGCACACCTGCAATGTCACATATCTATGTATTATTATGGGAAAACTTCTTTACAAGTGAAACTTAGCACAGGAGGGAGATGTTTGGCATATAACCTTCCTTCCTGACTAATGTAGCAGGAAGTCTGTGGTATTGTGGTGTTTTAGGTTTTAGGTTTCTCCTTGAAATGGCACAGTGTATTTTTCTACATGTAAATTCAAATCCACCTGTCTGTGACAGGATATGAGGAGTTTGATGAAAAAAGAACATCTGTTCTACCAGGACTAGTCCAAATGCATATCTGAGCATGACTTATGGATTTGTTTAATGACTTAGTCCTGCCTTAAAAACCTACAATGGTGTGCTGTTATTTTGGGAAAGTGATTCTGTAATTTCGATTAACTCTGCTCCACCTCTCCATTTGTAAGTAAAACAGTGTATTACAAAACTATAATTGGGAGACTAGAACATTCCATTGAAATCAGGTTCATGAAGAATAAAATATCTGATGGAGAAATTTATTAAGTATTAAAATTATTTGAGGAATTGGCCTTTGTTTCTGGGTAATTTACACAGCAATTACAAAATCCGCCTCTTTTATTTTCTCTTTTATGTTTGCTTAGCTAAAATTGTGCTCAATGCTGCAGGGAGGCCATCTTTGCTTTCATTTGATTACTGTTTTCCATCTCTGGTAAAAATGAGGACTGATAGGAAAGTATTTATTTTACAAGCAGAAATAATTTTATTCTGAATAAAGGTTTCTGTGATATAGCTATGGATTACTTTTGAAAGAAATAGGTGTAACATTACTTGTTTTATTGAAAATTGAAAACATTAAAGGAGAATATTTGTAGCTCAGGGTTGAAATGAGAGCTCCTTGGGGCTCTCTGACCTGTTTTGTTTCCTTGCAGACATTTCATTATCTAAACTAGGTAACATCATCAGTGCTAGTAATGAGTGGGATTCCAATGTCAGTGTTGGTGGTCAATCTTTGGTTGGGCTGTTTACTGTTGGAGTCTTTGGCAATTACCCCAATCAAGAAACTGCCAAAGAAGCCAACAGCAAACAGCCCAACTAAAGAATCTCTAAGACAGCGGTTCTCAACCTATGGGTCGCGACCCCATTTGGGGTCGATCGCCCATTTTTCGGGGGTCGCCAAAGGCGGCGATCCGCTATTTTTCGCGGCGCCGTGCATGCGCGCCGCGCATGGGGGGTGCCGCCGCGCATGTGCACCGCGCGTGGGGGCGCCGTGCACACACACCACGCGTGGGGGCTGCCGCGCATGCGCACCGCGCATGGGGGCGCCGCTGCGCAAGTGCATCGCGCAAGGGGCACCGTCGTGCACACGCGCCGCGCATGGGGGGCGTCGTGCATGTGCGCCACGCATGGGGCGTCACCGCGCATGTGTGCCGCGCATGGGGCCCCACCCCCATGCGCGCGCCGCCGCGCATGTGCAGAACGTTTGTGTGACGGGGGTCCCCGTCACACAAACATTGAGAAGCACTGCTCTAAGACCACCCCCACCAACACTGACAGGGCAGGCCACTAGAATATAAACTGACAGCAAACCTCACTCTTTACTAGCACCGAGCTTGCTACCTAGATTGGGTAATGAAATGTCTGCAAGAAAACAAGCAAGGTCAGAGAGTACCAAGGATCCCTCATTGAAAACTTCATCAATAAGTGCAGTAAGAAACATGTATTTGGGGAGCCATATCTCTGATAATATATGTGTTAAGTTTTAAAGTGCTTCAGGTGCTGCATAGCTTTGTCTTCTGAAGAACATTTCAGAAATAACTGTTGGAATGATTGAAGTTTTAATATATCCCATCTTACAATATGAGCAGGACAACACAAATAGTACCATACAAAGCCTTCCACTCACTTTCTTGTGCCATGGCTAGGGATGAGCAGAGCCTTTTCAGCAACATCATGCAGGTTCTAGAATTTACTTCAAAGGAAATCTGATGGTGTCCCTCTCTTTGACTATTTGATTTGAAATAAACCTTTTGTCACGTATCAATCATAATGTAGAATTTCCACCTTTTCAGCTATCCGTTTCTGATTCCTTGCTTCTAATGTTGCCTTTTTTTTTTGCTAATCTAGGATAGACTTGCTTAAAATATGTTATTTCCATTTTTAATTGAAACTATATGTTATATATTTGTGTCAACTGTCTTTGAGAGTGGTATATATTATAAACCAATTTACAATGAATCCAGGCTGAGTTGAAAGAGTTTACTCTAATGCAAATATCTGAGTAATGTAGTTTCAATAACTTTAGACAGTTTGAAAAGAATTATTAATAGGCAAGTATTGGACATCAATACATTCAGCTATTCATTTCTTTTGGTCATTTTGAGTTAATATGCGATTTTGGGTGGAAAGAATGAATCCATTTGTTAGAATACTTTCGTTTTCATTCTTGGAAGTCATTCAGTTAATTTCTCAGTTTTAAAGAAATAATTACACAGTTCAGTAAGATATTTGCAAACTATATGCAATAGTATATGCAAACTCTTGTGTCTTTGTAGCACGTTCTGGAGACATGCTAAGTCAGGCAAATTGCTTAGTGTGGAATGTGCTTGCTCACCAGCTTTTCCCAATAGCAGGTCAGCTGATTTGATTAGCAAACCATCTTGAACATTGGCATCTTTCAGAAGTGTGAACTTCAATTATCCAGATTCTTGGGTCATTGCTGAGAATTCTGGAATCTAAAGCCCACACATTTAAAGGACATCATGTTTGGGCAAGGTTTTGATATAAATGATTTTTGGTTGCAACTAAGATGTTGTGTAGAAGTTAATATATTGAACTAAGAGCAAAACTACCTCAGTTGTATTAGCTCACTGGGTGGTTCTGAAGCAGTCATTCTACCTCACAGGGTTATGATAGTTTTGTGGAAAAGTGGAGGAGGAATTGCTGTGCATGCTGCTTTGATAAATCTAACAAATATGTCTTCAGAAAATGTATTTGCTATTTACAAAAATAGTATGTATCTTGTTTCCAATCAATATATTAGATTGTAGACTAATGACTAGACTAGATTGTTAGTCACGAGACTTTGAGAAGTAGGCATGAATTGGCTTCTTCCAAACTAAATTGTTAGCCTGGTTTAGTTAATTTATTTATTGGGAAAATGTATGTGGCTGCCTATCTTAAGCAAATAATTCTGGGCAGCTAACAATACAAAGCTGTATAAAATAAAAATTCAGAATGGTTATATCCTATTGGCTTTTAGAAAGGCAGTGATGGCTGGCTCTGGAGTAAGGATATCAATGAAGATGACATACAATGGTACCTCGGTACTCATCATTAATTGGTTTTGGGAGGTGCAATGATTACCAAAAACGATGAGTATCAAACAAAATTTTCCCATAAGGAATAATGTAGTGAGTTACAAGACAGCCGACAACAAGAAGTTCTAGCTTGTGTGTTAAGTACCAAACAAATGATGAAGTATCGGGACAAAATTTTAACATAAAGATGCATTGTGTACCAAATTTGATGAGTTTCAAAACAGTTGAGTACCAAGGTACCAGTGTAGCTGTTTTTGATCTATGGAAGTGAGATTTTATGATGGCTTTAGTTCCTTCTTTTTTCTTTTTCTTCTTCTACTTTAATGGATTTTGACATTTTGTCATGTTTTTATTCTTGTTTGTTATACAAAATTCATTTGGTAGGTGAGCAGCCAAACAATATAGTTAAATAAATAAAGAAAATTAAAACCTGGGATAGCCTACTTGTGACTCACAATCCCAAACACACACATACTAGGCTTTCCTAGTAACCCAGTCTAAATAATGAAGGA